CAGATTTATGGGTTTGATTATATGGACGCATTCACACCACACCTCAGATTCTTACCTGCAATTACAGTTTCTTTTGGTACCAAGTCATTACTGCTTTGGAACTCAGAACATAGTGATACGAAAGAGAAATGATTATTTGGCTGGATATCAAGCAGCAGAAAGCTTCAAAGGCCATCATTTAACAGGTAACAGACCCGGCAACACTGTATATTTCATTACCGAGGCCTCATTATTCTGTAATTCCTTCCCTGTGGACAAGGTCTGATAACTAATACACTCCAAATGGTCGACAGATAGAGTTTTTCTTTCGCATGTATGTTGAATATTTGTTTGGCAGTTACCATAAAGCTTCTTTCATCACATTCTTACGTGAGCAGTGAAACAGGCAGTTAACCGCTTTGTTATTACTCAGGGGGGAACGCTGGAAATGCGCCCATTATAGACCCACAGGTCATTAAACAGTGACATCAAAGACGCCTGATTCCAATTTACTCTCTATCTTCACTTGCACCAAGCACAACAACATGCGTGCGTCAGAATACACTCGTAACTTCACAAAACCAACACGTAAGCGAAGTAATGAGGCTTTGTGTTGTTTTAATAACTCTCGCTGTTCCATGCCATCGTAGCAGAGTAAACATTGTTTAGATATTTATATGTATATCAAGTGTGCATTCCTGGCTAGTGAAGACATGTGAGGGGGGAGAGAGCCACAAGTCTTATTATGAGATCTACTGAGGAATTATCCTGCCCTCCTCTCGCCATAAAAAAGTCAAAGAGTTGAAGAGAGTCTGATTGCAGCCTCACACCTGCTTTGTGTGCAAATTATAACGTTGAGCTAGTTTGCGCTAGTGCTCATTTCCCTTATTATCTGTGGTAGGTCAAATGGACAGCTGAGAAATGCTTCAGATAAACATCTACATCAATGTACCTTAATGCTGCACTCTCCAAGATGGCAAAGAACTCCTGTGGTTTTGAGATTGCGAAAGCTCACGAGTAATTTCGAACTCAAAAGACATAAAACAGGATAATTGTAAGATATCACGTACATAGCTATTTAATACATAATATTTCAATGTCAGCTAACAAAAAACTGTTTGAGATGTTCATACGAAGTGTTACTGGCAAAGTTGTGTCTATAAGAGAGTAAAAAATTTGCCTTTCGGTCTAAGACAGATTTTTTGATTTGAGTTATTTGTACCATGTCTGTACATGGTGTTCCTCGGTTCCCTGTACTCAGTGTCCTATAATGTGAATGACCCAATGGCCTAAAAAAAGCCCAGTGTTCAAGTAAATATCAAACCTTTATTGCGATATTTCTATTCTCTGCAATTATTCACAAAGTAATTTTCAATATTAAACAACTTCTTATTTATAAAGCCAACTCACTCTCACCATTCACTGTTCACTCTTTTGTAGGGCTGGGTATCGATTCCTGATTAGATCTGATTCAGATTCACAAGCTCGCAATTAGATTAATGTATAAATGTAAATGAGAAATGGTGCAGGAAACACTGGTACAGGGAACATTTTAACTCGGTACATTATAAAAACATAAATACATTTAAAAAAATTAACAACATGCCCCAAACAAAGCAGTGAAGTGAGTAATTCAATGGAATGCTGTTATCTACAGGACGTGAAGTGCTGTACATTTTTACGAAGCCAGTGACATTAAGCACAGATTAATAGATCAATACTGGGATTTTAAGAATGAATCGCAATCAATAAAGAAATCAATAAATAAACAAACAAAAGAAAAACATAATATTTCTACCCTTGTAGACCTACTCTTTTGGTCTTTTGGGAGAATAACCACATGGATCCAACAAGTCCCACCTATACCTGTAAAGAGGATCTCCATCTCCATGAATGTCACCCTGCATTGGACCCCAGCCCGACTGACGCTTTCTGGCAGTGACAAATCTGGCAAAACACTGGGTTTTAGAGTGATTATGTCATTACTCTCTGATTGTATGGGACAAGATGAAAAGAATGTAAGCAAGGGGAGGGAGAGTGACTAATCCTTCTTGAGGTGTCCTCTTTCAGGACCCTTTCTGTGAGGCTTTGTGAGGGACTTATGCGGCCCGCTGCCCCAGTTTTTTCAGGGGGCCGCACCGCCCCTATCGGATGTCCCAGACACAGCGGAGTCAGCCTGGCCTGTGAATGACAGAATCAATGGGCTGGGAAAGAGCTCTGCCAAGGGTCTTTAAATATCTCCCCACCTAACCTTCCCAGGAATTACATCATGGCAGCCTGCCTGTGCTGGGCCACGAAGGGAGGAAGAAGAAGATGATGAGGAGGAGGAGGTAGCGAAGGAGACACGCTGAAGGTACAGCATCAAGAGGTTGACTCGAGGTCAACAGAACTCTTTTAGGGGACTTCACTTCAAATAATTACTTATGTAATGCACTTCAAATAATCATTTGAAATGTAACCCTTTTGTAACATTATAAATGTCTTTACTGACACATTTGATCAAATGTCTTGAAAAAAAGTCTTGAACAGTATACACACACACACACATACACATTGTAAGACGCATCCAGACTGTCACAACATACTTCAGCGATGTGAAAAAACTCAATAAAACAATAACCCTTGTCAACAAACTCACTGAAGCACAGTAGTTATGGTGAGCGGTTGAGAGTGGTTGGCACAGGGGTAGCATAGAGTTATTTGAGAATGCCAACTCTATGGGTGGGCTGAGACAGGAGCTAATTTTCCAATGGAAACCCTGATATCTAAACAATACAGGAGCAATAAACAAATACAGGGTTGGAATAGCAATACATTGACCTTGGTGGAGCCAGAAAATGTCAACGCACTTATGGACGATAATTCAGCTAAAGACAGCACGATATGATATTTTCCAAGGTTTATGCACATAGAAATAAATGGTAATGAGTCCCTGCTTATCGTTATCATCATCTGTAATCTACTGACACCACAAGTCTCAAATAACAAAACAAGCCCTCCTTGCCGATCTGGTGGCGGGCTCTGGTGGAGAACCCCTACCAAGAGGACTAATCGATGCTCTCATCAGACCTTCTGAATGTGCATTCTTCACATAACTCAAGCCTCAATCATCCATTTCACACATTAGAGCCTGTTCTCAGGCTCCTAAATGGCACACACCTGCAATACCGCTCTATTTATCACACTGAATCTCACTCTGTAAAGCTGTCAAGGACTCTAGCTCTCTAGAAACATACATGTTTGAGTCTGTGCCAAGCTAATCAGATAGGTTGTAGCATCTCCATCAAGGGCTTTGGATGAGCTCGCTGTAAGCTTGTTCAAATAGTTTGCAAAGCAGTCTGAGACTTCTGCTCAGGCGCATTTACAAAGTATGATGAGAGACAACTGTGACTGCCAAAAGCATCGGCTTTGCTTTCTGATGAGTGTGCTGACATATTTAACAGAGCATATTAATACACATCATTCTGAGGTATTTTCTCTGCCTAGCTGTTACAGCGTGATTTTGACACACTGTGAGGAATGATTGGTTGCTAAAATGCATAACATTTACACATTTGTCAGATGTTTTTATCCAAATAACTAAAAGTGCATTTAAGGTATATATTTTATCACACTGTGCACTTCCTGGGACTCGTATTGAGCTACAGGAAAACGTAGTGTGCATTAGCCTACCAACTATAAAAAAATAATATATACTACATAATTAGATACATATAAACACTTCTGTTCAACAGTTTGGGGTTGGTAAGATTTTCTCTTATGCACACCAAGGCTGCATTTATTTGATCAAAAATACAGTAAAAACAGAATATATAAAATAACAGTTTTCGATATTTTATATATTTTAAAATGTAATTTATTTCTGTGATATCAAAGCTGAATTTTCAGCATCATTACTCCAGTCTTCAGTGTCACATGATCCTTCAAAAATCACTCTAATATGCTGAAGAAACATTTCTCATCAATAATGAAAACAGTTGTACTGCTTAATGTTCTTTGGAAACTGTGATCATTTTTGGTAACACTTCATTTCACAGTGTCCCTGTTACACATTTTTACATGTAGTTACTATAATAATAACAGTCAATTATGCCTACATGCAACTAACCCTAAACCAAACCTTAACCCAACCCTAATTATATAGTACGTACATGTAGTTAATTACTATTACTTAGAACTTAATTGTATAATTACACTGTAACAAGGACACCTTAAAATAAAGTGTAAACCTAAGATTGTTTGATGAATAGAAAGCTAAAAAGAACAGCATTTATTTGAAATAGAAATCTTTTGTAACATTATACATGTCTTTATTGTCACTTTTGATCAGTTTAATGCAATTTTTAAATCTTAATGACCCCAAACTTTTGAATGGTATACACAATACATTCACATTTTTACTGTCTCTTTTTGGAAATTCATTTATTGATGCAAAAGTAAATGCTTTCTATAATTTTTCATGTGACTTTACTTACTGTATAGCACCCAGTTAGGGTTAGGTTCTCAATAAAACAGAGCCCCAAGACAGTTAAAACACTAGTAACAGTGGCGTCAGCTGTCTGTGTGTTTTTACAGCCTTCAAACTGACTGATTACTGATATCAGATGTTTAAAATGAAGACACATAAAACAAGCCAATTACACAATAAAAAAAAATCAAAAACACAAAGTAAATAGCCATGTGACACCCTGACCCTGTCAGAAATAAATCTGCAAAAATTGTACCTTTGGCTTATACACTGTTGACTGCATATTAGTACTTTAAGATACTAATATGTACCCTTTAATAATAAGCATCTTTTAGGGGTAGACAAGGTAATGTGCACTTTTGAGGATGCCCTCTCAGTAAAAAGCTGTTCAGGGGCCTAAAAAATTTTTAATCATTTTTTATATTTGTTTCTGACATTGATCAAACAACGGTAAAATGACAATACAGTAACAAGAAGTTCTATGTGCAGAGCTAGAAAATGAACAGAGCTTAAATATATGAGAAAAGCAAAGAAAGCATCATATGATATCTACCTTCGTGCTTCCATCCAGCTCCTCGCTGTTGGAAAGAGTGGTGTTGAATGCTTCGGTGTGCTGCGGAGCGAGCTCCTTCGGCTTCTTACGCACCTTCCTGCCCTCGGCCCACCCTAGAAGGATGCACTGGCTCCAGAGCACTGCCGTCACCACAGCTAGCAGCCAGCAACGCATCTTCAGAACACCAGCCAGGAGACCGTGGTTGGGTCAGAAAGCAGACTCTCTCACAGTCTCTCTCTTTGCGGGAAATTCTCAACTTTGAGAAATACAACAAAAAAAAAAACAGCAAGACGTCCCACACGCTTGACCTCACTGGAAGAAAAATACTGTAATAGGCAGGCAAAGCGATTAAGAGACTTGTCCACTCCACCTGATACCTCAGCCTGGTCTTGATCTTCTCATCAACAGCCAGCAGTATGAGACAGGGGCTCAAGCTCCTTTGGCAAAAACAAAGCGAAGCTTACTCGACTATGAAATGTGTCAAGTGTGGAGTAGTCCTGGGAAATGACAGGTCGTCGCTGAGCTGACAGCAAATAAACCCATTAGTGAGATTTTTCACGCTTCCTGCCCCGTGGGGGGTACCAGAGGGCAACTGAAGAAGGTCCCAAGGTAGGGAGGGGGGAGTGGATGGAGATTACTCAGATTCCCTCTCACTTTCTCTTTGGTTCTTTACCTCCGTCTCACTCCTACTGGGATGTGGAGTCTCTGCGGTGATGCAGCGGAGCCGATTCTCTGGTAAGCAATGCTGAGCTCTTGCCCCATCAGTCTTCACATGTGGTTCCTTCTTGAAGCCTAGGTGGGAAAAAAAGGTCCTGAGGGAATTGGAAGTTGGAAATGCTCCAGTTTTTCGTAGCCTTTGGCCTTCTATTGCCTTTTTTATCTTGCAGTGAAAAATCTGTCCCCCTCTGAGGAACTTCAAAGAAGTGAAGCACTTGATGGGACAATCACACCCAAATGCATCAGCCCAGTTCTGCAGGGTGACAAAAAAAAAAACCCCACATGCGCGCTCACCTTAAAGTGCAAGATCTGCGTGGACTTTGTGGTAGGTCTTGCTCACAGTTGTATTTTCACCCTCTCCAGATCTTATGCTGTTGCTCCTGCACTCTCTCACTCTGCTTACAAGAGGGCTCGCAGCAGAGTTTATCACAGCCCCCTCTCTGTCTGTCTCTCTCTCTCTCTCTCTCTCTCTCTCTCTCTCTCTCTCTCTCTCTCTCTCTCTCTCTCTCTCTCTCTCTCTCTCTCTCTCTCTCTCTCTCTCTCTCTCTCTCTCTCTCTCTCTCTCTCTCTCTCTCTCTCTCTCCCTGATTCCCTTGCTTCTCTCTTCCTCATCAGTGAAACTGGCAACCTCAGTGGACTCAGCCCTGTTTTATCTCACTAATGAAATACTCAAGTCTTGAGGGAGAGCTCTTTGGCAGGCAGACTCTAGGGAATGCGTGTTCATGTGTGTAGGTGTAAATCTCTGTGTGTGTGTGTGTGTGTGTGTGTGTGTGTGTGTGTGTGTGTGTGTGTGTGTGTGTGTGTGTGTGTGTGTGTGGTGTCCTACTTTGCAGTAGCTCTGTACATGTGACATTTAGTCTCAGAGAATTCAAACAAGTTGAACAGAACTGCTTTAAGGCACTAGAATGTTTTTTGACCAGCTGACTAGTTATTTGTGTGTTTTAAAGAAGAGCTGAACTGAACATATATATGAATTTACATGGAGTCACCCAAATAGCTCGAAATATGTCCATCTGCATGTACTCATTGAGATGAAAGTGTCAGAAGCAGGTTCAACAGTACAAACAATATTTCCCACTATATGCACACACAAAAACTGCCAAAACCTGGCATTAAAGGTGAGTGTAATTTTTGTGATCATCAATATAACCAAATTCTGTCATTCATCCATCCATTATTTTACTTACTGTTTCACATTAGCACAAAATATATAGGCTAATCATATTATTATAATATATCACACTTGAAATGGTTACATTATGTACATTTTTAACTTAGTGGTTAAAAATACAGTACTTTCTCTCAGCACTGCAACCATACTGGGAGATATCCTACAAATCGTGACGCTCTTCCCCCCTCTGGTGGTTGGAAATAAAGCTGCAGAAATGCATCTTGACAAAACTAAAGAATGTTCAGTCTAGTGTCTTATTTGTATATTATTGTATAATACTCAAATCTATCAAGAAATCAATATGCAAATTGTACTTTATTTTATTAAAAAAATGTAATCCTGCTTGTGATTTTTTTAAATTCAGTGTCACTTCACTGTTCTTACAAATGTGAGCATATGCAGTACCATAATAAAAACAAAGAACCATTGGTGTGTGTGTGTGTGTGTGTGTGTGTGTGTGTGTGTGTGTGTGTGTGTGTGTGTGTGTGTGTGTGTGTGTGTGTGTGTGTGTGTGTGTGTGTGTGTGTGTGTGTGTGTGTGTGTGTGTGTGTGTGTGTGTGTGTGTGTGTGTATAATGTAAGTGATGTGAATTAATTTTGACATCACTGTCTGCGTAAAACAATTTTTGCAAAATGTGTTTTCATCTTAGAATTGAAAGATTATACCAAACAAATACATTCAGTTTACAGTATGTAACAGCATCCAAAATTGTATGAGTTGATATGCAGTGGGAATTAGATGACAGAAATTTGCCTACTGTTCATCTTCTAGATGTTGTAGAGACCCTCTCAATGTCCTTGTCTTACAGATGGTATAATGCCTGAAAAGGTAAAAAGACTGTGTTACTTACAATCAAAAGATTCCTCTCTAAATAATCAAGGGGAATCAGCAAGGAAATTGAGAGGGTCGCTACAACATCTAGAAGATGAACAGTAGGCAACTTTCTGTCATCAAATTCCCACTGCATATCAACTCGTACAAAATCCAATGTCCACTTAACACTAAATACCATCTTTCTCTGGGCAAATGTAGAACACACAGGTATACTTCTCCATCACACGGGAAAAAAGACTCAAGTTGATCTTTGGCACAATATGGGGTCTATCTGCCTGCCCACATTTGATCTGTGTACCAGGTCCAGGACTGTCAGTATGAGATTCATTTATCATGGACCTTAATACACAGAAAGACCAAGGACTTGTCTATAATAATTCTCAATATCCTGTAGGCCTAATGCCTGTAGCCTATGAATATCAGATGATGTCACCAACGTCTCACTGACGTTTTTTTGGCCTTCTATATTTGTAGCCTACCAGTATGGTCCTTCTGGTAAAGCTGCCCGATTAGGGAAGTCTTGCTTGATAAGAAGCCTTGTGAGGACATCAACACACCTGCATCTGATAGTTAAAAACCTGATACCGGACTTTGTTTATAATAAATAAGTTAATGTTTCCAATGTTTATAATAAAAGTTTCTATATTTTGCTGTGACTGAAACAGCCCCCCAATTGTGAGTTTGACATAACATTCCTCAGAAACTAACCCAGTAAGGCTTTCCGATGAGAAGAAAAATAAGAAGATAAACATTCGTATCACTGTATATTTCATACCCATTCATCAGCTGGTACAGTAGATGGCGATATATGCGTTTTCCCTGTCACCTCATGTTACAGAAGAAGAAGATGGCTGCACGATTGCTGAGTCTGACAACGTAGCAATGTTTCTTTCCTGAACGCCTGTTTGGTATCAGTCTGTGTGAAGTCTTGCGGTTGTCAGTTTGTCCTGCGTCTGTTTGCGTGTGTTATCGGAGTCCAGAAAGGGGGGACGTCACTGTCAGGGCCATAAACCGCTCCAGTGACCAGCGTTTGGTCTCGAGTGGCGACGTGTACAGGAACTGCGCGATGAGCTGCACATAAACAGTTCGCTCACGGCGCTTCAAATACATTAGGCCATTGTCTTCTATTCATTCATCTGACATTTGATTTCAGGTAAGGACCTTTTAAACAGACGAGTTGGTAGGTTGTTATGTATTTCCATTCACAAGTAGCATATTCGTTCAGCAGGTGTTGTTAAACATATTTGCTGATTCATATTTAATACTAACTGATAAAACGGTAGCCGACATAACTAACGGGTTAATTTATTAATTGTTTTACTTCTGCCAATGTATCACGACCTTGACTAGTAAAGCATTTGAATTTGATCTCATATTGAGAAAAAAACAGCTGGTTTTAGCAGGTTTTCCAGTCTTTTCCAAGAAAGTGCCCATAATCCCTCTAAAACAAAAAAAAAAACAGCTTAGTCTGATGTTAGATTTGTTTATTATTTCACCAGTACAGTTTCACCTGCACTCTCATTGAATATGTTGAAGTCTTCTTATGCTTGTTTTAATACAATTTTTCTTTTTGTAGGGTTTCATCACCTGTTTATGACATTTATCAGTAAAACCATGTTTAACCGTGGAAAATCTCAGTTTAGCCACCTGGCAGTATTTGTGATGCTGGCTTTGAATGTTCAGGCCAGGCCAGCGAATATATCAGCATTAAAAGACAAACACCCCAGCAACAGTAAGGAGGACAACGAGATCCTTCCACCGGACCATCTGAACGGTGTGAAGATGGAGATGGATGGTCACCTCAATAAAGATTTTCATCAGGAGGTGTTTCTGGGGAAGGAGATGGAGGAGTTTGAGGAGGACTCTGAGCCCAGGAGGAACAGGAAGAAACTCATTGAAATCTTCACCAAGTAGGTGTACAGCTGTGGAAACAGTGACATTTTCCCATGACGTGCTTGTCATTCTAAAGGTATTTGTTGCTTAACTCAATGTGTCGGTTGTTGATTGGATGGAGGCAGAAAGAGGCGTAGAATAAGGAGGTAGAATGATTGGAGTAGTCTGGTATATTTCACCAGAAAAAAAGTGTCATTTTCATCAGAAGATTGAGTTATGATAGTATAATTTAACTAAAAAAAAAGTTTATAAATGAAACATGCATGGATGAATCATTCACAATAAGATCAACAAGATGTATTTAAAAAGTTCATGTCAAAGTCCTGCACGGGTCCTGTTTAGTAAACCCACACCCGGCCCGCACCCACAGTACTTAACAGAACACCTGACCCGTTATCCGACATCAGCACTAATTTATTTCCGTATCTGACCCATTTGACATTAAAGACCGCGACCCGAACTGCAACCACATTAAATCTATTACATCAGGTAGACAAAAAATATTTATTTTCTCATAACACAAGCAATCAAACCAACATTAGGTATTCTGAGTTGGTGCACTTTAAGAAAAATTGACATGCAGCCCAACATGGTATAAATACAAAACGTTTTCCTACATCGAGAACAATCTGCCCATAGAGGCTGTTTGGTTTGTTGTACAGGTGAGATGGCATTACCTGCTCTGGCTTTCCAGCCTGTCGCACCTCATACGGTGCCGTTGGGACAGCTGCAGGGTCATCAGCTGGACACCGCCGTTCATAGATGTTTCGCCCCCAAGACCAGTACATCTCCAGGCGGAACGGAGATGTACTGGTACGGAATTTGTTGTGCATTTTTAATTATGCACATTTGTTCAAATCCCACCATAGGCTATACAGACACTTAGAGATCTCTATAAATGAAAAGAACATAAAGCCAAAGAGGAGCCTTTACTCTCATATAATATCTGTGATATTTTTGCGGATTTACTCTGCATTTAAATGTGGCTGTCTCTCCTGAAACTCTGTAGTGTATACTGTATGCGCGGCAGTTGATCCTCTTAGCAGCATGAAAGATAAAACAAATGTATTCAAATTGTGAATAGATTATATACAGAGAGCAAAAGTGATAACAAAAAATCTTTTTCACTACTTTTTAATTGTCTAATTGTACCTATTGCTGCATCATCAAAACATCATCATCTTATTCTGTTTCTAGGGTGGATTTTAATAAAGACAGGAGCGTCAGTGCTAAAGAAATGCAGCACTGGATCATGGAGAAAACAGAAGAACATTTTCAGGAAGCCGTTAGAGAAAACAAGCTCAGTTTTCGTGCTGTGGACCCTGATCAGGATGGTAGGTGTATATTGTTATTTAGACCTGTGCCCTATTTTTTACAGTCAATGCCTGTGCCATATTGAAATTATATGTTAAACATGTATATAGTTTTTGATTTCCGGAATGATGTTTTGATAACACATATCATCTGGTCTTTACATTTTTGGTGATGTGAAAGAGAAATTTGACCTGAATCTGCTCAATTTGTGCTCTCTCAGGACATGTAACTTGGGATGAATACAGAGTGAAGTTTTTAGCCAGCAAAGGTTTCAATGAAAAAGAAGTGGCTGAGAAGATCAAAAACAATGAAGAACTGAAAGTGGATGAAGAAAGTAAGTTGTAATGTAGAAGGTGTATTTGTCTAGTATGGTATAGTACTCTTAGTTAAGCCATTTCTAATGATATCAATAAAACATGACCTCACCACAGCTCAGGAGGTTTTGGAGAGCTTGAAGGATCGCTGGTTCCAGGCAGATAACCCTCCAGCTGACCAGCTGCTGAATGAAGAGGAGTTCCTCTCGTTCCTGCACCCAGAGCACAGCAAAGGCATGCTCAGATACATGGTCAAGGAGATCGTCCGAGATCTTGGTAAGCAACAATTCATACCCAAAAAATTTCTTGTGATTCTTATTAGAGCTACTTTATAGCGAATTCAAATTGAATCGAATTTGTTTCATAATTTATGAATTTTGCAACATTGAGACCAGTGTTGGCGGAACGCATTACAAGTAACGCGAGAATTGTTACGCGAGTATCAGATTACTTTTTTTAAGTAACGAGTAAAGTAATGCATTACTTTTAAATTCACAACACAATATTTACTTCTTAAAATAAATAATGCAAGTAATCCTTTGTTTTCCCATGTATTGACTGACAGCTCTCCTGTCCCCTTGGTGAGAGAAATCGGGAGTGAGTTGCAGAGGCGTTGTGTGTGTGCTGTGTAAACATGATGGTTATTGTAGTTCTATCTAGAATAGTGAGAAAGCATTTACTTATCTAACTTGCACAAAAACAGATTCAGTATTCCTCAAAATGAATAAAAACAGTAAAATGCAAGCTGTTACACAAACCTCTAATAATTAAAATGGTAAATAATACATCATTTATGTATTGTATTTAATCTCACTTTATTATCTAATGTCTTTGCTTTTGACCTACGATGATCCAATTCAACCATACTAATAAGCAAAAATGACTTTAGTTAAACATCACATTTGTGTTTAATTTTTTGCTTCTATTGCTAAAGTAGGAGTGTGATACACTTTTGGTGTGAAAAGGCCATTATATTGTAATGCATTACTCTGCATACAAAGCAACTAAGTAACGCAGTTATTGACAGCTACACAATATTTGTAACAAATTACTTTTAAAAGTAACTTACCCCAACACCAAGACGGAATTAGATCAACATTGAATATGACACTATTGCTTTGTGTAGAGCTTATTGCTGAATTGAACTCGTTTCATAATTGAAGAAATGTATTGAACTGAACTGAACTGACTTGACAATTGTCTTTTTAGAGCTGCTTTACCGCAGAAATTAAATTTGTCCCATATTTGTCTTTCAAGTTATTTTCCTGGGCCCGTATTCCTAAAGAATCTTAATGTAAAAAGTAGCTCCTAGTGACAAAATTCTAAGAAAATTCTTAGAAATGTGGGCGTTTACTCTTAAAATTAAAGAAAAAATCCTAGTAAAGAAAAAAGTAATTCAGAAAGCATCTTAACCCTTAAAAGAGGTCTTAAGGTCAAAATTGTTAGGAGTATGGATGAGGACTTTTAAGAGGCTTAAGAGTTTCTTTAGCAGAGGAGAAAATGACAGAACGATGAAGAGGGAGAAGAAATGTGATGCAGACAATAGATGACGACAGTGAGTTAATAAGACGCTATAGATGAGATTGTGCAGTGATCATGTTTGTGACTGATCTTATTAGAGAAACGCTAATATCTCCGACACAGCGCAGGAATGCCATAACGCCAGAAATGATCACTACATTAAGATATTTGGCAAATGGGAAAATACAATAAAGCAATAGTGATTTGGGTCTGTGACAACCTTCTGTAAGCAGTGATCACACAAACATTACAGCACTTTCAGAACCTCTTATTGTGTCGGAGTTCATTTAGTTTCCACTGGACATTCCCACCTTGCAGGCTCAAAAAACTGTATTTATGAATATAGCAGGCTTCCCTGGTGCGCACAAGCAGGGGAATGAACCGTTAATAATGTGCGCTATAAGCTCCCACGTCCGCTTCTCGCTCCATGCTGTGACACCCTGCCCGAATTTTCCTTTAAGGACGGCCTAGTGTTCATCCACTAACTCGGCTAACAGTAAACACGGTTCTTCTGACCAGTCAGGCTTTCTCGTCTTTCTTGTTTTTTAATCCATGTTTTCAAAACAAACATTCAAACCACCACTTAAATAGACAGCAATCAGTGTAATTGGAAAGAGTGGAACAATTTTTATCATTCTAAGCCAATCAAATTAACAGCAAGGTAAAAAAAAAGGATTTATATACATAAATATAATGTGTGTGTGTGTGTGTGTGTGTGAGTAAACTCTATACTTAAAATGGCTCTTTTTTTTCCTTCTTGGACAACCAACCAATCACAGTCTTCAAAAGATTGTGTCATACATAGCAACGGGGTCAGCCCCGCCTCCTCACTAAGATGAGAGTTTTTGTCTTTTCCTTACTCAGAGTTGCTCTCAGATCGGTCCCGAATCACTCTTAAGCTAAGACTCCTACGTAAAAGTTTTTAAGCTAAATTAAGAGTTTTCTAAAAGGATTCTTAGATTCTTTAGGAATACGGGCCCAGGTCATTACTTTGAAGCTTTGTTGAAACAATCGGTATAGTATAAAGCTCTATATAAATAAAGAGGACTTGACTTAAGTGTACTCCATGTTTTAAATTCCTAAACAGATCAAGATGGAGATGGAAAGTTGACTCTTGCTGAATTTATCTCCCTCCCCATGGGAACTGTGGAGAATCAGCAGGCCCAAGATATCGATGACGACTGGGTTCGTGAAAGGAAGAAGGAGTTTGAAGACGTCATTGACGCTAACCATGATACGATTGTAACCATGGAAGAGTTGGAGGTTGGTTAACGGATAAGAGCACTTTTTTTAGCGACTAATTTGAATGCATATTTGTCTCTTGCTGATATTCTCTCTGTCCCACAGGAGTACATGGACCCCATGAATGAGTACAATGCTCTGAATGAAGCCAAGCAGATGATTGCTGTGGCGGATGAGAACCAAAACCACAACCTGGAACTAGAAGAGATCCTTAAATACAGCGAGTACTTCACCGGCAGCAAACTCATGGACTATGCCCGTAACGTACATGAGGAGTTCTAAGACCGTCTCCTCAAGTCTTAATGAATAAGAATAGCATGTATATATCCCTATTCCCTAGAGTGTCGCAAGGATGATGTTGGTCCTTGCTTGCTTCCCAGATTGGGATCAATAAGTGCTTTTGGACATGTGTTTGTAACTGTACAAACCTGCGAGCCACAAAACCTTCTCTAATGTTGCAATGTGCAGGTATGACACATTTAATCGGACTCTGCCTTCATAATGTCATGTGATTTCCATATGAGCCCCATAAAGTCCTATATATAATTAATGTTAGACACTTTGTCACTTTCATTATGTTTTTGAGTGTTGATTATTAAGTGAAATGTCTGTATATGAGGATTTGGTGAGGGGAAAGAGCGTTTTAAACTTCCATTGATTAAAAAAATAGATTTAATGTAAATAATTTAGTTAATTGGAGTGCCATAATATATGTTTTGGGTGGGTTGCTTTTGAAAGGGTTTGAGCTTCCTGAGCTACGATGTGATATTTCCAAAGATGACGAGCCAGCAAAATGATTTGGGTGGTAATTTTGTGAAAACTGTAATAGCACTTCTATTTGAAATCATTAAATGCAAAGCAGTCAAAACGTCTTGTAAAGAAATAATATTAAAGGGATAGTTCACCCAAAATGAAAATTTTGTCAAGTTGTTCCAAACCTGTATGAGTTTCTTACTTCCTTTGTACACAAAAGAAGATATTTTGAAGAATGTTGGTAACCCAACATAAAGAAACTCATACAGGTTTGGAACTACTTGAGGGTGTGTACATGACATTTTTTGTGAACTATCCCTTTAATTGAGAGAGCATAGGATAATGAATCCGTGAATATGTGACCCATTTGCATTTTTAAGAACCCTGTTATTCACAGTTTGTTGAAGTCATAAATGTATATAGACTGAATATTATTTTATTACTTTTAAGAATTTATTTTACGCTGTTACCTTAGCAATCTTTCAATTAAATATAGTCAGTATAATAGAGCAGCTTATTCCCTGTTGACATTAATATTTCTCCATTGCACCTGTCTGAGAGTTTGTTAAAAGTAATACAAAGTAATTTAAGTTAAACATAAAGGAAATGCTTTGAGGGGAATTTGATTATTAGAAACTATAATTTACCCTTTTTAAATTGTTATTAAAAATGGAAGGACCATTACATGTATTTTCTGGATTTGAGAATAAAGTTTTATTGAAATACATATTTGCCTTAAAAAAAATAGGCTAATGTGTCTAATGTGTGGCTATCTGTGTATAAATTTGAGCTCAGTTTTGGTGGTAATCCTTTTTGAGCATGTTTTGGTAATAGTATTTTTGGATTCTTTTTTGATATCAACTGAACTCCCATTATGTGTTTTTTCTGGATGTTAAAATATAGCTGCTATAATGTGTTAATCATCTTTATACAGAACATTGACTGATCATTACATTCATAATGTGGAAGTTCCAATTGACTTGCTAAAGTAAAAAAGGCAGAGTGCTGAATGTCATGAAGTTTTTAAATGCATTGTTTTGCATTATATTGAAATATATTTTCATAATATTATTCTGTATTTATGCTACAGTATTCATAACTAATGCATGAAATTACATTACCTTTCAAATTACTTGTGTGAACTGTGAACACTGGTAACACTTGAAATATTTGTTATAGATTAGAGAGGTAAAATTTGGGCTGAAATTTTACTATAAAATGCCGTACAGTAATTGTAGTTCACAGTATTATTTTAGACATATTAAACTTTAATTGGTTACCTTGTATCTTTATTCTTGTATCTTTACTCAATTTCTAGGAAAAATCTTAACAATTTATTTAGACATTCCAATTATTTATTGATACACATGGTGATTATAATGTAAATATATTCTCTTATTTTTTTTAATAGTCGCTCATGTCAAATCACACTCCAGGGAATTCCACTCCATTTACAATTTTTTTCTTTTTTTAATTTGTAAATACAATTAAATGTAGAAACATTTACTTTCACTCAAATATGTTTTGCTAGTTGTAATTCAATAAAATCCGGAGTGTTTTCATTGCTATATTTCTGGACTACAGTACTGGTGTTGCAAAATAGAATAAAAAGTTGCATTTTTATAAGAATAATCTACATCACTCATATGTTCTCACTGACTCATTTGACAATGACTATTTTCTTAGTTTGAGGTGTGACAGTGACTCTTGTCGACATTTGTTTGGTTCAGTTCCTGTTTGGGAAGAAGCAAAGCAGATCACATCCTGTTCAAACCGAGATGGTCAACATTTTTAGAGTTGGTTTAATTGTCAGTTAATAAATTAAATATACTTATGAATGTTCTATACTTTTTTTAGTTTCATTTCTGCACTTCTCTAACTTACACTGTGTAGGCTGCTGTGAATACCACTGGCTCTTATGAAAAATTGCTTAGGTTATTTGAATAAAAGCGCCTTGACTAAAATTGTTTAATCGATTAAAAATAAATATTGAAAAGAATCTTCACGACAAATAGCTATTTTTTTTTTTTTTCACTTCCTGGTTTCTAGTGTAACCACAAGGAGGCAGAAAAGTGTCAAAATTCCTAGAACGTTGGTATGAGCATCACGTGTGCATACAAACTCTACGACCCTAATAAATATTATTACATGTTCTTTACACTTATCTACCGCAAAATCCGATTTACCTCCAGCTATTATTTGTTGTCATCTTAAAATCCATGCACAACAGCAACGATTTTTGCAAGCATTAGGCCTACACAGGCATGCCATTTCCACACTTAATGCATCTAATGAGCATCCAGCTGGCGATCTTTAAATTATTCAAATGAGTGTTTTTTCTCTGTCCAATGAATAAAACTGTCCCAAATGATGAAGTTTTAGCAGAGCCCTACTATAGGGTGTGGCATTTTGTAAAGAGCAGACAGACGGGTTTCAAGTACGGTGGTGGTGGTAGAGAGGCTTTTTTTTTCACTGCTAGTCTGTTATGTAAGGAGGGAGAGTCTTCCCACCTCCCCTCTCTGTTTTTGTTTTTCTCAATGAGCCAGGCTCTCCCTGCGCCTGTCCACTAGGCCCCTTTCCTGGAAACAGAGCCTGGCAGGGGCCACTCAGGGGCAGGTTTGGGGGGGTGGGGGAGAGAGTAATTTGTGGGAGGGGGTCTCCTTCCCCTTCCTGCAAATCACATGGCTCCAGACTTGAGTCTGAGCCTTGCAGAAACCTCAGATTTGGTCAATCTGGGCACAGCTCTCGTTGAGCATATGCGTTCAGGTCACTGGGTGCACGGACTGTAAGTCACTGAGGGTGGGGGGCTCTAGGCAGGATTAAGTAGCTTATATCCTGTTCACTGATTATTGATATGTACAAAGAGCCTGACAACTGAATGAATCCTGAAGATATCTCGGCATGTTGTGATACGATTGACTGTTTTCCACGTATCTTTTTAAAGTCTTTTTACATTTACATTACATTACATTTAATGTTATACTATTAAAATAAACAAATATAAAATTGCTTCCACATTATATTATTTTATTATATTTGTATTATTATAATTATATAATACGTATCACAGGAATACATTTCATTTTAAATAAACTTTTTTTTTTTTTTTTACTTTTTTATCAAAAAAAAATAAAGCTTTGGTCAGTCTTCTTTCAAAAACATCTAAAAAAAAAAACCAACTTTTGAACAGTAGCGTATTTTTATAATAAATTGAATGCATCTGATCACTATGTTAAACAGCTTGTCAGATTTCTTGTTTGCTTGTCTTGGTAAACACCAAAGATGCTTGAGTGTTAGGGAGCAGGTTCTACTTTCGCCCTGTCCTTGTTCAAGGCACCAATCCAGAATTGTAACCTTATAAAAACACAGGGCTATAGGGCAAGTTCTAGGATTGTTTCGGTTTAATGTACTTTTTGCGGGCAGGTACAACTCCATGATGTTACAGTACTGATTTACAAAAGGGATCTCCTTCAGAAGATATCTGAGAGGAACAAGTTGTTAAGAGCCCAGTATTAATCCTACAAGAGTCTTTGCACACATTTTTGCACTTTATGTATCGTTGTAAAAGTAAATTGTGAGAAATGGAACGAGTGGAAATATCACGTTTTATGCCTTTCTCCTGTGTAAACAAATTACACAAAAGGACAATAATTAGTTGAATCATTAGAATTTGCTTGTGAAAGCCAATGCTTTCTATGATTACCTCCACCTTAAGAGTGACTGTAATCATTTTTTCAACCAGCTTTTGCTGACTTAATTTCAATATTAAGTCATTTTAGAGAGCGCCCACATCTCGATTCGTGTTAAATCAAGATATAGCTTCATTAACTGTCATTTTATCTCTCCGCTTTGACCTTTGAGGAATTCTTACTCGACAGGACAGACAAGGGCCACTGTCTACAGCAAGGAAGTGGCATTAAAGTTATAACACATAAAAGCTTTAATTTGCAATGAACCGATAAAGTGTTGTTACATATTAAAAAAAAAAGCTCATTTATCATAAAAGCATATTGTAGTGTCTTCTTATCTTCTTTAGTTCCTTCTGTAAAAAATATTTGTTTGAAATGGTTTGATATTGTGATGTAGCCTGGATGCCAGCCCAAACCCCGCCCACAACATTTTTTGATCGGGAAGTTCGGTCTGGACTCGCTCCATTGAGGAGTAATTATGATCGGTTCAGAAATCGTCGGGCCAATCAAATTGCCAGGGCGGGCTTTATACGATGATGGACAGATGATCTGCAGGGAGTAATCCTCACGTTATCAAAGAGCGCTTGGGTTGAACTGGTTTCCCTCAGAAATGACTGCCGCTGGAGAACTGAGATGTATAGATTCCGCTATCGCGTCCGTTGTAAAAGAAATCGACAGCACATTCATTTTAAAAGACGAACAGAGAACTGCAATCAAGGCATTTGTCGATCGGAAAGATGTGTTTGCCGTTCTTCCTACGGGATTCGGCAAAAGTTTAATTTATCAGCTGGCTCCGATGGTAACTAAGAAGATGGGACGCAATGAAAACCCTGTGGTCGTTGTGGTTTCTCCTTTGGTCGCACTCATAGAGGGCCAAGTAAAAGAAGCAACACTCGTTATTTTACTTCTTCCAGCGAGCGTGCATTTGAGTTCTGTAGTTGACAACTGTGCTATGCAAAGTAGTTGACTTACTGCGTTGCTCTCATTGGTTGTAGGTCTATCCAATTGAGTGCAGAGTTTTTTTTTTTCCTGGTTCGGTTAAGACACGCCTCATAATCAAAGCCCTATGAAGCAGTATCAGACTCACATTCTGACTAGAATATGAGTATGACGAAGTCAGGCTAATTGTGATGTGTAAACCCAAGGGCTCTTTGGTGATCCCATGCCTTCCATTGCAGAGTTGCAAAAACACTTTTTCAAAAGCAGAACATGTTTTGGAACTCTCCGGCTTACACTTATTTTAGTCACATATCTGACATCTGCACAACTTCCACATTTCTGTGAACAGTTCTTGTTTATGTCTTGGTTTTGTGGTATAGAAATGGTCCCGTTTGGGAATAGAATAGATTTCCAACAGGAGTTTTGGCCAGTACTCAGGCTGGTAAAAAAGTCTGTGGCTCTTTTATCACTTACATTTACCATTCTCTACCTCTGTTCCCTTGATTGAAAGATAAAAAATAAAAAAAATGATAGAAATAAGGGCGTACAACTTCTATTTTTTTCACACAGCTGACAATGACAGTTTTACAATGATGCCTTGGCCAATGTTTCAAATCATGACATAAAATGTTGTCAAAGCATCAAGTTGTTATCTAATCTAAAATTATTTATTATTTAATTACCTGATTAACGAAAAGATTTTAGTAATGTCATACTTCATAACCTAAAGGAATTCTCATGCTGGAATCAAAATGACACTTGCATTAATTTGAGTAATTAAAATAAAGTATTCAGCACTCAATTTATTTGTACTATTCAAAGCAACTTTGATTTAATTTAATTAATAATTTGATTGGGCTTTAGTTTATTTATTTATTAATACACTAAAATGGCACTTTGTCTTTTAATGCAAATTGTCTTTTAATGTTAAACTAATGTTTTTTAAATTAAATTACCTATTTTTAGCACAGAATCTTCAGGTTACTCGAGTTGTGAACTAATAATACTAACAGATATTTAGAATTGATCAATAGCCAATCCTCTTCATCATCACAACTACAGTGATGAGGAGGATCAGTAGGAAAATGGGTGGATTAGGTGTGATGCAATTTGAAAACATGAGATTTTTTTTTCAAATATTACAAATTTAATCGCATCACTCATTTCCTTATCAATTCCCTCATTATTAAATTAGCATTCCGACACTGTAATTTAGATTTAAAAGGACTACATCTTCTGAATACTGATTTGCGACAAAACCAGCACTGGAATGTTTTCGGTGTGGAGTGTGCAGAACAGAAGAATGCTTCAGCTACTCCCACTTCCTGGTGATCCAATCCGAAACGACCAGCTGTTTCAAGGCGCCCCTCCGAGTCCGTCTAAAGCAAAACAATACACGGAAAAACAAATAAATCGTCAATTATCGACTATTTTCGCTTCTTAACTCCTTAAATTATACATATGAGCGAATTGGTCGTGTCTTTTTTAAAAATGCTATTTTGGATCTACCCCAGTTACGGGGTTGTTTATCTGTAGTAAGGGGAACTTGAAACCGTCCTTGCCCCATGTCCTCGGTTGTTTTTCTTCTTTCGCCTGGATTCTCCATGTTGTTGGAGAAAAAGTGAGGGCTTTACCTAGACCAGAGGGGGCTATGGATAAATATACGAGCGATAAAGTAACCGAGACGCGAATCCTAGAAAATAGCAGATAAGATAAAACAAAAACAAAGTGGCATGCCCCTCCCATGTGGAAGAGAATAGAAGGCGGGAATAAATAAATATCACAATAATTTGTCGCCGTAGGATTGAGATTTTGTGCGAACGGAAATTATTCATTTCAAGCCTCGCTAGCTTTTAATGCCACTAACAAATGCGGACCGACTGTTTGTCGCTGGAAAAGGTTGGTTGGACGTTAAGGGCTGTGCGTTTGTTAGATGGAAAGTTCTATCATCACTCAAGTGCAGAGAGAGGATTCTCGGTTGTCTTCGAAAACAGGTAGGCAATGCGCTGTCACATACTAAATGGTGATGTTTCCGCGCTGTCAATTCTAACGATCACATATTAGCCATTTTCGCGTCACACTGTTCGATGTGCGATTCGAACATGTTCGATCGATGCTCGCACTGTGACAGTTATTTGTCATATTAAGCTGATTGACATGTCACAGTCGCGAGCGGAATTCGTTAAGTTCCAACCGTTGAAACTTAACGAATTCCGCTCCGAACAGCGAAATGTAAATAAGATCAATATCGCATTTGAGGATATATATAAGCGCTTTGTCTTTCATTGTAGCGTAAGTTACTAAAGATACATCTCAGTGTAACTTAATTTTATTATTAATTACATGTTTTGCTGTTGCAGTCAGGCATTGCTGAATGTTTACGTAATATTATCAGTTTTTAAAAGGATTTTAGACGACCTGCAGAAATCTGACATGCTTTTCTCGCTGTATTTTTCTAAAATTATTATTTGGTATATAATTAATAAATTATTATTTTCCATTTGTTTATTTCGATTTTAATTTATATTCAGTTTATTTACACAATAGATGTAATTCTGGTGTTTTTAAAGCAAACGTGTAGCCAATGTTAATTCGCGTTTCACGTAAGACACTGTTGTTTCCTATTCTGTGGACGTCGTTTCATCGCTTGGTGAATGGATAATTTGAGTGACATGTTGTTTTAACGTTATGCGGATTGTGTTTCAAAAACATTTTCTGTTTAATCGACTTACCTACACTCGCGTATCTCACGCTCTTTCTGAAGTAAAACTGTACAAAATATCGAGTTGAAATGTGAAAAACATCGGGCTAATGGAGAGCGCAAGGTGCCGCGCTGGAATGCACACAACACACCCCTCACAGCAGCACACGCCCTCCATCTGCCGCGCGACGCTACCATTACACACACACACACACACACACGTTCAAACCTCAACGGTTAATGAAGGCCTTATCTAGATGTTTAACGAGTAAAGGCCACAGTGTTATTCGGAAAATAACATTATGCGGAAAATAACCATTTTCTAACCCCTTACTTACTACCTGGTGGGCCAGTCTATCTCCTTTCGGTGTTTTGACCAGTGTTTTTCTTTTTCTCATGTCTAGTCAATATGCGCAGAGCTGTGCGCTTATTTTAGATCTGACGCAAATACGATATCAACAGTATGACCATACTTAACTGATGTCAATTTGGCTGTTATTACAGATGTTTACGATCTATGTATTAGTGAATTACGAGCTGCCATAATGTTGGGAAAATAGCCAAGCCAAGTCTGCACAAATTCCTTGAAGACCCATTGAACTCAGTTTGTACTTGATGGCATTAAGTGTCCAGTGACCTTTTTTGTGGCCATAATAGCCAAGGCTCAGGAATTATAGTGCTCAGGATGTGAACAGATGCATTAGTGCAAATGTAAGACACATTAATATAAAAAGGCTAAATCAATTTACAAATATAGTTTAAAACATATGTGCCAGTTAGTTTCTAAGACATACTATTTGTATTCATGATAGTTTCATTTAAAGAAATAAAATAATTTGACATTTTGTGCAAATATTTTGATTCAATAACTCTGAAACTGTCAAGTGGTGTAACCATGTAAAAAGCACTACATTCTGTCTTTTCATCTTGCACATGTGTACTCAACTTCAAAAATATTTTCAAAGATATTTTTCCAAGGCAAAAATATACATTTTTGAGTCATGTTGAATATCAAAAAAGTGCTTAAAAATGGTCTAAACGAAAGTATGTTTTTAGCAAATTAAATGGCTGCAATTGACAGTCTAAAGGTGTCCTCTGTTGTGACATGACGACAAAATGGCTTCCCAATGTCTGTTAGAATTTTTTAAAATATTAATAATATTATTTTTTGAGAAATAATAATAAATATTTATGTCTAATTTTAGAAATTTAATCTTTTTAATGAGACTATTTTCCTTTTCACAATCTTTAGTTACACTACCTAGACATTTATTTTTACCTTAACCCCCACGATAAAATATCAAAATTAATTTTAATTCAGAAATTGAAAACATGAAAATATCATAGAAGCCATGTATTCAAGCCATTTTTTTGAATAACAGAATAGATCTGTTCTACGTCACCATTGACCCCCTCAAACAGATAGCCTACCAAATGCAAAGAATGTTTGTGATGTTTATGTAAAGTTGTGTATATTTGCTATAGTACCTTGTGGAATTAGATTAATTGACTTTGTTGAATATATTGCATTAATAGTATTCAAATCAAGCAAGAACTCTGGTGTAGAAATTTGTAATGTAGTAGACCATTATGTCTTAGCTTGTCATTAGCTGAGTATCCATCAGCTATGGGTTAGTACATCATAACCGAGTGAAAATGCAATCCATGAATATAGGCAATGAAAATCAATACTTAGTTGAAATATAATGGTCAGACAATATGGATGTTTTTCACCAACCAATACTGAGGCTGATATCTAGAGATCAGGGTGACAGACTGGCGATGTAATGCCAAATATATATATGTAATTCAATTTAATGATAACAAATGACATAAAAAAAAAAATTTGTACTATCCAAACTAAAGACAGATATTCTCTAAATGACCAAATCTTTTATTATTAACCTCATCGAAAATGCGGTCTGTCACTATATACTGTATGTGCTCTTAAGAGCTCAGTAAATTCTTACTTTGAGCAGTTTTATTATTTTTAATCAGGAAAACCATTTTGATATTTAAGTGCATTAGAAATGTGTTCAGTTTAGGCCAGTGCTCAGGCAACAATCTGAATGCCTGAAAAATCGCTTCCATATGTATTGGTAATACGTTATGTCTAAAAACGATTTGTTGCAGACCAAATCTAAGACATCTTGTACTGCTGTTCTGCCAGTGTGAAATACATGATGCAACACAACTGAGAAAAAATATCTTATTTAACTGGTCTAATTATACATATCAAGAACATGTTATTGTTTTCTTAACAGATTCCGTGGACTCCAGTTACACACAATCCCTTGAAACTCAAATCCGTGCTTGCCATTTAATTCGCCATGTAGATTTTTATTATCTAGGACAATAGATGACAATTCATTGAGGATGAAATTAGTAACTGCTAGATTTCTAGCAGTTTTCTTTTGTACATCTGCCTTTTGGGATTGTTTTATTTTTTATTTTTTACGCACTCTCATTTGATCAGATCTGAGCAGAAGTGTAATAGCTAGAAACACTGACCACTTAAAAGCTTCTAACAGAACCTTTGACGGTCCTGAACAAAACGCTCCTTCCACTCTCCGCTCACAAAGCTTGTCAATATCGCTCGATCCTCACGTGACAAATGTTTTGAAGAAAGTGCATTTGAATTCATTGATACATTTCCCTTGTACTCCATTTCCGGAGTCCTTTTGTTAAGCAGGGCGTTATCAGAGAGTGTACAGATGGGCAAATACAGCACAGAGTAAATGATGACGAAGGAGGCCATTTTCTCTCATCCTCCCTCTGCTGTACATGCTGCTCGTATGTTACATAAGATGATTCCTATGGCTACATAAGTCCCCATAGGGAACAAGAGGGAGAAGAAGTGCATGTGATCAGCCCCTGCTCATGTTATGGTCAATTCCTTCAGCTGAGAAAAAAAGAAAGAAAAGATTACTAGTACTGAAGTTACATCACCATAGGAATAAAAACAGATTCTAATCACTGCATGGCGTACTTTCATGTTGCAAGAGCTTTTATGCCCATTTTTTCATTTTTGCTTCTTGGGAATCTCAACAGGCATGTCTGAACAAAATCATGTTCCTCTTACATGCACATATTTGCGAGCAAAACTATGCAGAAATATGAAAATATGCAAGGAGCCCCTCTGTAATGCACAACCAAGCTCGCTACAGATGTTTCGTTACAAAACATAGGTCTTATTTCTGTGGATAGGAGTTAAGTCTGTGGCGTATGCACTTTTCTGCCAGGCTCTTCTGTGATGAAATGGCAGGAGTGTGTGTGTGTGTGTGTTTTGCTCTAAAGGTACAGCAGAAATGTGTGGGCTTTCCCACCCTCTGAGATTATATAACATATACCAGCCGTGGCCAGCAGCCTCATTTAAAACAGATTTTCTGTTTCTGTGCAACGTGTGCCATCTCTGGAGAGGGGCGGCTGAGCATTTGGTCATTTTGATGTTGATAGCCGCCACATTTACTGACGAAAACATACATTTCCAGTGCTCTGAATTATTTAAAAGATCCATCAAGCATTCAATGCAAAAGGATCTAGCTGATTGGCGAATGTGAATATTAGTTTTGTTTGTCATCTATTGGAGACTAAAGTGGTTAATTGAAAATATTTAGTAACATTTACTAATGTACTCTGGGTGGGGTTTGACAGCACTTAATGGGATTCAAATGGGATTGTTTATAAACCACGCAACATGAGCCTTTTTATGCTATGTTTATGCAGTACAATTATCAGCAGGACTAATATATGCAAATTATGCATTTAAAAAGGGTTTTATTGTTTTCAAACAGATCAGGTGAATAAAAACTCGCCTCAGAAACCTGGAAGTCGGAATATCTTCAAAAAGCTCATCTGTTGCCTTCGAGCTCAAGATGCCCAACTGCCAACGTCACCTACCCATGATGCCTTGCTAGCGCCCGAGGACCATGGGACCATTGCCAAAGTATTATAGGAATCATTAATCAACACTTTCTGTTAGTTTATATACTTGATGCATAAAACAAATTAGATTAAGATAAGATTAAGCAGATTTGTAATATGTTCCACTTTACATTGGTAAATTGTAGATGCCCATTTTTTTTTAAATATTAAATAAAACTATTAATTTTATATGTAAATTGTTAAATTAATACCAAATAATATTCAATGAAATAATATTTCATCACATATTTGGTTAGATTAATACAAAATATTAAATATAAAAACATTATTTATAATCTGGATGTGTAAAATTAAATGTTTTTTTTTACATACATGTATAACAAGTAGTCCCTTTATTTATTTTTTTGTGAATCAAATATACATTTTTCTTGGTGTTGTTGACCCTCTGTGTGTTCTGGTCTCACCTGTAGATACCAGGAGAGTGTCTGCTGCCTGAAGTGACCTCTCAGGACCAGGGGAAGATCTGTGTGGTCATAGATCTGGATGAAACACTGGTGCATAGCTCCTTTAAGGTACACCCAGTAACACTGATTGATATGGTAAATTTGACGATTTAAGGAAATACTGTGCAACTGAATATTTCAAAATAGATAACTATAACATTTGCATGTAATAACAGTTTCTCACCCCACCAATGTTCTTAACCATATCCACGTTGTGTTTTTGTAGCCAATAAGCAATGCTGATTTCATTGTGCCTGTGGAGATTGAGGGGACCACACACCAGGTGAGATCTGATAAATGTTTGTGTATGTGAGAAACACCCTGCCAGTGCGCATTGACTTGAAGTGTGCAGGACATCTGCTTGAGGAAACAGTGGAGATGTTGTTCTATATTCAAAAGTGAATGATGAGCACCATCTGCTGGACTGACGTGAGAACAACACTTCAGCACTGGAGGAGGATTGCAACGTCATGTTGTGTACAACCAGAAGAGACAAGATTTGCCCATTGGAAAATATATATATATATATATTTGCCCATTGATTTTTTGGTTTTACTCCCAAAGCGGTGATTTAAAAAAAAGCAGCGCAACCAGAATACTTCTGTTTTTAAAATGTGGAGATTGAATTTACATTAAAATATTCCTAAACCTTTGTTGTTCTCGCCCACTTTTCATGGAAAATCTGCATTTGGCCTCTGCCTGGTTCAAGTAATCCAGGATAGGTTAGTTCCCACTAGTACGGCCTATTCTTGATTACTTGTTTCAGGAGAAGGCTACGAGCAACAGCACTCGACGCGCCTTAGTGCACAACATTTTGTGATTTGTTTGATTAAAAAAAACTACATTTGACTCTACTCTTTAAGTGGTGCGTTAAAATACATTAATCTCATATACAACAAACTCATCTGTGTTTTAGGTGTATGTGTTGAAGAGGCCATACGTGGATGAGTTTCTCCAGAGGATGGGAGAACTGTTTGAATGTGTTCTGTTCACTGCTAGCCTTGCTAAGGTATCAAACATGCATCACATTTCATGTTTCTTTAGGAAAATGGTAGAAATTCCTTACTAGTGTTATATAGTTATGCCCTTGTAGTGTCAGACTGATTTTCTTCTCTAGTATCAAGTTAACCCATCCCTCCTTCTCCCCGTTCATGGCTCTGGTAGTATGCAGACCCCGTGACCGACCTGCTGGATCAGTGTGGCGTGTTCCGGACGCGGCTATTCCGTGAATCTTGTGTGTTCTATCAAGGCTGCTATGTTAAAGACCTGAGTCGCCTCGGCCGTGAGCTCCACAAAACCCTGATCCTGGACAACTCCCCTGCCTCATACATCTTCCACCCTGAAAATGCTGTAGGTTTCACTGTCCTGCTGCTATTTAGCTGTTTGTAAAACCCTGCCCTGTAGATGCCCTCTAGCTATTTAACAAGACGAGTCCAAAAGTCTATAGATAGATATATGGTATTACTATCTATATTTATCAATATCTCTATGTATGTATATATATATATATATACATGGTAATACTTTTATTTAGCAAGGATGCGTTAAATTGTTCAAAAAAAGTGACAGTAAAGACAGTTACAAAAGATTTCTATTTCATTTAAATGCTTTTCTTTAAACTTTTTTTTGTAATGGCTGAAAATGGAGCTTTCCAAGAAAAAAGAATCTCAACCATTTTGTGTGCATAGATCCGTGGAAATATCAATGCTGTCAAATGAAATAAAAAAAGATCCCACACTCGCTTGTCTTCTTACCAAATTTAAAAAAAAAAAATCTTTATTACGCAACAAAGCACATATGGATTATTCAAACGTTTCGGCAATTAGCCTTCTGACCAAACATTTGAATAATTCATATGTGCTTTGTTGCATAATAAAAAAATAATAATTTAAGACACACTTGAGTGCAGATCTTTTGTTTTTTCATTTGAAAATGGAGCTTTGCCATCACAGGAGAACAATTAAAAAAAAAATTTAAATGCAACAATATATTAAAATAGAAATCAGTTTAAAATGCAAAAACAACAACAAATATATATATATTTTTTTAAGTACAAATATATATATATTATTAAACATGTATTGGTTAACAAATGTTCAAAAGTTTTGAAATTGTTCATAATGCCTTTTATCAAAATGTTATTTTGAATGTTATTCAGATTTTCAATGCTGTCTTAGTCTTTAGGACCTGCTGTAACAAAATATTGTTTCACCATCTGAAATATGTACATTTAATTTACCAAATGCACTGATATAACGATCTTCCTGATTTTATAATACATAAACCCAATAGATTTAAATAATCCCAAAATGATTGCATTACTATGAACGCAGTACGCTATTGGCGTATAATAACCTGTGTGTGCCTTTAACAGGTTCCCGTCCTCTCCTGGTTCGATGATTCAGAGGACACTGAGCTGCTTCACCTCATCCCAGTATTTGAAGAGTTAAGTCAGGCTGATGATGTCTACAGCAGACTCGAACAACTCAGGGGTCCATAATCCCTACACCGCCAGACCAGGGCAAACCTCCATGTTGTGTAGCACTGACTGCCAATCACACACAAGCGGCTCATATGACAGTAGACTCCGCCTTCTGACCTGAAAACAAACACGAAAGCTCATAATTCTGCTCCGCACAAAGTATATGCGGTTTTGCTACATGGTTTGAGGGACCTTAAACACTTAGTGATGATGAATATTGGGGTCAGAGGCCAGCTTTGTCTCAGTCATTGAGCTTGCCTTTTGCAATAACAATTTACAGATTTTATATTCCTTTTTTACTTTTCTATTTTTTTTTTGTTATTAGTTTTTTTTTAATGTTTATGATGACATCCTTTGGGAGATTAAACAGATTGCAGGGTCTAATTAAGTCACCAGTAATCCGCAACAGTGAAGCTGAAGCACAATAAACTTTCAGGCCAGTCTCTCTATGCAAGTTCTACCTGAACTCGTCTTCACACTTTTTTTAATCTTCAGCATTCATAATCACTTTAAAGGAAAACGAGTGTTGCTAATGTATTCCAGAGAAATGTCGCAAATAGAATACACATTGTTTTATCCAACATGCTATGCATAGTTTTTCCATAAATGCAAATGTGACACCAAGCACCCATACATCTTTGTTGTCTTATTACTTTAGGCCTTGTTTAAACGGCACAGTTTTCTACTGTCGCTGAGGTGCGTTAACATGGCATTAAAAGACCTGTTTTTAACACTGTTTCATGTGAACTACAACTACATACCTTCCTGTATTCATCTTAAAGTGGCCTTATCTATCTGCTTCGTGTACTTGATGGGGTTTTCTTATATGCGAGGAGCAGAATTAACACCACAGAATGAACCAAAGAGATTTATCTTGTTCAGTTACTGTCCTTCTCTCTGCTGTATTTATGCAGACAATTACTTGTGCTGTCATTTATGTGTATATTTGGTTGAACTTGAAAATCTTTGTTTTATACATCTTTGAACTTGAAAATGTCCATCTTTGTATGATCTGTTGATGCAGACCAGATGCTCCACCTCTGTGCTTCATCTTATCTTATTTAAACATGATCATGTTTATATTATAATTTGTTTTTACTGTAGCACAAATATTCAAAATAGCCATGATTTTTTATAAACACAGCCAAGTGTTCGAAGGGCAGATTATTGCCTTTTGGTTAAAAGATTTGCCCTGATAAGGACTGTGTTGTCATATTTTTGACTTTTGTATTGCCGACAATAAAACATTTTTTGTGCAACATGTAATTGTTTTCTCTGCATTTTTTCATTGAGCCATTGTAAGCTATTATTATTATTAATTTCACATACAGCCGCACAGAATTCAAACATGCAAATAGCATTCAAATAATTTATAACATCCACTTTTGAATGATAAAACGAGCATTTGAATTCTTTGCCCTAAAATATCTCATTTTGTAAAAAAAAAAAAAAAGAGCATCTCAAATTTTCAATCAAAATACATTGTTGCCATCATCTGACAAGCCAGTTGTACGTCCTCCTTTTGAACACTAGGGGCACCAGAATCCACCACACAGTATAGGAAGATATGCGTCACATATTCTGTAATAAATATACTACAAAAAAACGTACTTAAAAAGGTTTTTATTGAGTTGAGTTTTATTGAGTGATGGCGACTGCTTAGAAAGGAGATTATGAAAACACATTTATGGCTTTTGCAGGACAGAGTGAAAACAAATCAGATAGCACCTTATATAAACATTTTACAGATATATTAACAACTTCATCATAAATTCTTTTGTAAACATACCAAACTAATATAAAATATTCCTGACAATTACAACAAAGTAAATAACAAAGGTTATAACGGCAGGCAAATTAGAGAACTACAATAGTAACGCAAACTACTTATTTAAAAAAAACAAGAATTTTAAGTAACATGCGTATAAGATTGAGGATGACTACAAAGTTAATTTATCTCTACAAAAATTTTACACAGGCCTGGAAAGACTGTCGAATGACAAAGTATATATGCTTGGGAATGTTTTCAATTAGTCTTTTGTTGTGGTCGCTTCGTTAAAAAACAGCTATTGAGGTCAGCACAGATTGGAAAGGATTCGGGTTGTACTACTTATCAACTAACCTATGGCTTTTTGAGCAACCACTTGAAAATGGAAAGGTTTTTTTTGCCTGTAATCCATTACACAGGATTAGCCACAGTTAAATGCATGCAATGCACCTTAACTTGAATTGCACCAAAATGCTTTATGCTGAAGAAATATGATGGGTTTGTAGGGGGGGGAGAAAAAAAACCCACACACGACCGTTTCCCAAAGAAAACCCCTTTTGCTGAGTAATCAACATGAAACCTGGCTCACAGGAGGGTCATTTCTAACAGCTGTGGAAAGATGCGCAAGGCAGAGTCAGCGTTACTACGTCGACATAAAAAGTAAAGAAATCATCAGCCACCTTTTCAAAATTCGCACGGAATGATTTGATGATTTTTCTCTCATGTCCAGTCAGCCAGAGCCAAACGTCTTGGGTTTAAGTTTAAGCTTTTTTAAAGTTCACTGATTGTACGCAGGGTAATCCAACAATACACAGTTCAGAATTAAGTCATGAGTCACAAGTTTCTTTAAATCATTGCAAAACACAAGTAACATACACAAAAAAACAAAACAAGTCATGGCCGGGTCAGGAGAACAAACTATCCAATAGACGCACAGCGAGACACGTACACACAAAGTCAGGCACAGTACACGTTTGAACAGAACGTAAAAGGAGTAACCAATAAAAGGTGGTCTTGTCTTCCCACACTACTCAAAGAAAATAAATAAATAAACGTAAATAATAATTCACTGTGGAACACTGTAGCTCTGTCTTATACGAATCGCACTTACTGTATGTTGCTGCTACGAGGTTTTATTTTCTTTAAACACAATGAATCAAAAGTCTACGGCTGATGCAAGTTTTACACAGATGCATGTTTTTTTTTCTCGTTTTTTTCATGAAATATGCATATTAAATTAATTGAAAATCACATATATTAACATTCACTTTCCAATAACTTTACACAAATGTTACCAAAGAGAGTGTGCACTGATGTTGCATGAGAACCAGAACATTCTGTGAGATTAAAAACTGGAAGACTGCCGCGATGAGCTTGGATTCGTCCTTGAAATGTAATTGAACAATAATATGAGCTGAGCGTCACTACTTTTGCTACCACTTGAAACAGAGAACACGAATGAGATGATAGAGTTGTTATAATGGGCTAAAATGACACCACCACAAACACATTGTAAAAGTCCTTCTTTCCAACCATCAGGATAGAAACGTGGGTATTTCGTGTATGGAGGGTAACATGTGGCATGAGCTTTTCTCGGTCAAAAAAATGGGTTATCCCGTAAATATCCTCCTTCGAAAAATATTTGAAGTGTCACGAGAATCGGGGTACAAAAAGGTTGGTACCTGGTTATCATTCAGTCCCTCTGAAACCACTTCAGCCTTGACTACCACACGAGGACAGGCTGTCATAGAGGGAATCGCTCAGGGACTCGGGGGTCTCGAGGACCTGGGGATGGCTTGGAGACAGGCCGTCGTCAGGTCTCTCTCTCACCAACTCCAAACCAGTGTCCCTCACCATCTCCGGGTTTGCAGGAATACGGCTTTTGCCTCTACGTGGCTGCCCGGGTTGAGGAAGACTTCTCGGGTCTCCTTCACGGCTGGCTACGGAATCACTAGCCTTGTTGCGCTGCAGGAAAAAAAGACCCAAAAATGCAAAGTGAGTAACAATGAAAAGTACATGACAGAAAAGTCTTATCTTAATAATAATACTTTCATAATTCCATGAATCATAATAATACTTAAATACAATCTGTATGATACTCTGATATTAAAATTCTGGTAGATATTTATTTTTATGGTTTGGCAGACAACCAATAAACGGACTAAAATCAGTCATTTTAAATGATATGAGTCAATTTAGGCCCAAAAACAATGTACAGTATGAAAAATGGATATTCATTTTGAGATTTGCTAGATTGTTATCATATAATTAGCATTTTTAAAGATTAACTTTCAGTGAACATTAGATGGAGGCAAAGGTAATCTAAATGTAAGAAAGCAAACACACCGCTGAACTTTACTATGTATACTAAAAGAAATGCACTACTAAGTAAGATGTTTTGGGAGTTTTTTGCAAGAAATTAATACTTTTATTCAGTAAGGATTCACTAAATTGGTCAAACGTGACATTAAAGACATTTATAATGTTACAAAAGATTATTTTGAACTTTAGAATCCAAAGAATTCTGCAAAACTGGAACACAGTTTTCAAAAAAATATTAAGCAGCACAACTGTTTTCACCATGAGAATAAGAAATGTTTCTTGAGCAACAAATCAGCATATTATAATGATTTCTGAAGGACCATGTGACACTGAACACTGGAGTAATGATGCTGAAAATACAGCTTTGCCATCACAGAAACAAATTATTTTATGAAAAATTATATTTTAAATTGTAGTAATATTTCACAAAATTAATGTTTTTCTATATTTTTAAATCAAATAAATGCAGCCTAGGAGAGAATAACTTACCAAAAACTTTCCAAAAAAATTACCGATCCCAAACTTTTGAAATTTTTTTATAAAAAAGGGAATTAGATTGCATTGTTGTACTGTAATTGTCTTGTTGGGTGAAACTAGGATCTAAAGTGATGCTCACCCTCTTAAATGAACTCTTATGACTCACTGGCTCCACTCCGTCACCAACGCCAAGATAAACCTCAGACGACTCTGCAGATGCTTTGAGGTTTGGGAAAGTCCAGTTCTTTGTGGGGCCCAATTTCATAGGTGCTCCACAAATATCAGTGCCTGAAAAGATAAATCAAAGCTGAGAAATGGAGGGGGACCCACCCACCCTGGAACTCCTTCGAATTATTTAATGTATGATCATTCTTTATTGAAAACTCCCATAATTGATTAAACATAAATGACAGCTAAAGTATTATATACCTTCATGAACGATGTTTGCAATCTGGCTGGATGGGATCTTGTTCTCCAAATTGCTGGTGTGATGGTCCATATCCTGACCCCCCATAAAATCCTCTTCTAAACAAGACAACTCTCTCTCCAAAGTCCAGGCCTTATGAGGCATTTTCATCCCTGAGCCATGTTTTCCCTGGAGATGAGAAGGGTCACACTCCCCATGGGCCTTCCCTTTGGGAATGCTTTTGCAACCAGCATTTGCACTATAGTCAGGAAGAGGGAAGGTGCCAATGCCACTGTCAAGGGTGTGTGTAGAGATTCCAGATCCTTAAAAAAAAGTATATTGAATATTATACAAATAATATATGAATATATATAAATAAATGTATGATTATTATATACATGCATATTATTTAAGCACAATCATTCCTACCTACATGCATGTATAGTGTATAGTAGCACTGCATGACAAAAGGATCA